GGATTACTGGCAAGTTTGAGGCCAGCCTGGGCTATATAGTGAGGTCAAAGACAGCCTTGAACATACATACATAAATAGTGAGACCTTGTTTCAAGAAACAAAGAAAGAAGCAAAAAAGGTAAAATATGAAGCAAAACATGGTTGTTGTGATCACAAATATCTGTTTACAAGATGAAAAGTGAAAAAGTGCTACAGTGTTATGCCATGGGTACTTGCAGCTTAGTCAAAAATTTGGGGGTCAGCATTGTAGTACGTTCAGGGAGTAAGGCAGGTATGATCGAAAAAGGCTGTTTGATGCCTCAGAAGGCTCCACTAATGGAGAGACATGGCTTTAAGACACTTCTGAGATGTCTGAATAAAATTTCAGGAAATATGACTGTAAGAAAGCAGTTTTTCTAAATTCATAAGTAACCTTATATAACATAATATTAAATAAGCACATGTAAATAGCTTTAAGTACTAAGAGTAAATATTTGAGAGTTTTATCTGTATCTTTAAAAAGTTATACATTCAAATTGGCAAAAACTACATTTTTTTTCCTCACTGAGTTTATTGGTCCATTTTAGGTATACAGTACAGTTACATTCATCATTGGGATCTTGTACCTTTACGTGACAGGTCTTGGTTCTCATTTTCCCCCCTTGTCCCTGCCCTCCCTTCACCCCTCCTCCCCTCCCCCTTTACAAATACTTTATTTCTATTTTTTCACTTTCTCATGTCTTTTTCTTTTCCCTATTACCTTTCCCCTACCCTTCCCACTTTCCCTACACCTTTAGCCCTTTTCTTCCTATTTCACATGGTCCATTATATCATTAGGATCTTATGTACTATTATAGTTTATTCACACCAGAGAAACTATTCAGTATTTACACATGTGTGACTTATTTATTTCACTTAGGAATATATCCTCAATATGTATCCATTTTCCTATGAATGAATCTCATTTCTCATTCTTTGTGGCTGAGTAATATTCCATTTTAAATCATAAATTTGGAAATTTTCTTTATATTACAGATCAATTTATTTATTTATTTAATGGTACTGGTGACTGAGCCCAGGATCTCACACATACTAAGCAAGTGCTCTACTGAACTACCCCTTTAGCCAAGTCAATTTTTCTTTAGGCATACAAGAGACTTACCAAAAACCACCATGATTGGCAATAGCAATTCTGGCAAACGCAATACATACAATTTCTAACCCCTAAGTTTATATCTAATATTTTAGATATTATCATATCTAATAATTATTTGTTAATTAAATGAATATACCCTGTTGAATCTGTTAAGTGAACAAAATATACCCTCCATGAACTTATTGAAACATAACTAATCAAGGCTTTCATTTGAGTTAACCCAAGGAATCTGTTTTTCTTACCTTTTTGAGAGTTGTAATCCAGTTTCTGCCAGAGGTTGTACAGTATTGGCAAACAGAAAGCTATCTTTAGATGAATTATTTCCCAAAAGATATCTATTATATACTCCCTATAAGTAAATTAACATAGGGTAATTAAAAGTCATTGAAAATTTTCCTTCAACTATATAATCAGTCTTTCAGCTATGTAGGGAACTAGATTCACAGGGTAAAGATGTAAATTAGATTAGCAGTGCTGTAAACTTACATGCAAAGTAACTATACCCTTGTAAGTTGAAAGATGAACTCATATCAGGTAGTTAGAGCACTCTCAACTAGCAGAAGTGTAACTGATAACCAAGCCAAACTTGAAAATGATCTCAGAAGTTACCTAAGACATCAAACCTACAAGGTACATCATTTTTAATAACCACTGCCTTCCTTTCACAGTGGGGGGGGGAGTTAAATAAATGATAATGAGATAAAACAAAATAAAACTATAAAACCAAAGAAAGCAATGAGATGACTTCTAATATTTAATCTCACTTGGAGAGCATTAATTTAGGTAAAAGTGTCTTTTTTTGAACAGGGTTAGCTGAATGCTAATCAGTCTTTTTCATAATTCTCCATTTCTGTAATTCCAGCCACTACATAGCTAATGATACACATTTTAACTTCAGTCATAACCAGTGTCAAACTTTTATTGAAATGAAAGCCATTTTAAGTGTAAATCCTATTTGGTGTCTGATTTGGGAAAACTGATGATATAGAAATGTAACTATTTTGAGAAACCTGTTTGTTCAATACGATTGTCACTCATCCATTCCTCCCTTTCTTCATTCATTCAGGGACAGGGTCTCACTATGTAATCCAACATGGCTTGGAACTCCTGAGGAAGCTCATTCATGAACCTCCTGCCTCAGCCTCCCAAGCGCTAGGATTACAGATGTGTGCCATCATGCCTAGCAACATGATAAACTCTTAGAGCACAGAAAAGCTGTAACCTTATTTCTTAGAAGACACTGCAATCATTCATGGATAGTATAAATTCTGAGGACAGGGAAAAAATAACCATAATTTTCTTTACTCCTTCTTTCCCATTCCCCTTTTTTCTAGAATCTCTTATTTACTATTCTCCTAAATCTTAGTCTTAAGGAATAACCTGAATTTCTTAAACTCATTAAGATTCAAAGTACCTAGAAACTAGATTAATATAAGAAGGCATTTGTTTAGATTAAAATGTAATTGGAAAAAAATTTATGCTCAATTTGTTCTCAAAATTAATCACATGAATAAGATATAGAATATGGAAATTTGTACTCATTTATTTACTATACAATATGCTAGGTACTGCGCCAGCCTCTGAAAATTCTTCTTTCATCATTAGCCCTGATTAATAAAGATCTTTTTAGTCTGAGACAGAGATTCAAAGATCAAAAGATCTTAGTTTGTATAATGGATATCCAAGAAATGGCCAATTCTCACATGATTTTTCTTTATTTTTGTCATTATATATTTTTGTCTCATTTTTCATTTTATAAGCTTATTACAGAAAAAAATGATAATAAATTTTGCTACTCAAGTTTTTTCTTACTAAAGTCCTATTCTGGAGCTAGGTGTGGTGGCGCATACCTGTAATCACAGCACTTGGGAGGCTAAGGCAGGAGGATCACCGTGGGTTTGAAGCCAACCTGGGCTACATAGTGAGTTCAAGGCCAGCCTGAAATACATAACAAGACCCTGTCTTGAAAAAAAAAAAAAGTGCTATTCTGCAAAATCTAGATTTATCCATACCTACTACTCATCATTCTGTAATGCAAAATTGTCTAAGGATAAAAAAATTAACACCCTCAGACCAGAAAATATTTTTAACACAACAATAGTAAATATTGGTAAAATAAATATTTAAAACAAGTTTTTACCTGTGCTATTCCAGCCAATTTAAAATATGAAAGGGCAAGAAAGAAATTCCAGTTAGGAAGATTTGGATTAATCCCCCTGCAGCGGCAATATATTGAAATCAGTTCTTCCATTGATGGTATCCCTACAAAAACAGCATATAATTGTAACTTTCATAAAAATATCATGAGAAATATTTCAAAATGTTATAATAGAGCATATACATGTAAGACAGAATATAATAACCACAATCCATACCACATGACATTTTCAAAATATTGATCTGAAAAGGACATATATACAAAAAATATTTCATTGATAGTTACTATAAGTGGAATATTAAATTCAAAAATTAAAATGAATTAGAAATATTTTCAAGCAAAAAAAATATCTAAAATTGTAATATAATTTTTTAGTTTTGACAATAGCGGAGACAATTTTGTATTAAGGGCAACTGAAAAAGCATAACGCTTTTGTACCTATACTTTCCTGGATATGAGAACCTTGGTTTATCATTGGAAGTTTCCTTGGCCAAAAGTAGAACAGAGAAAGATGAGCTAAGTCTGACAAAGGATGACCAATGGTTGACAGCTCCCAGTCCAGCACTGCTATAACTCGAGCCTGTAATTAAAAATAAAGATCTATAACATATTAAAATTTAAAAAATTAAAATAAGAATACAGATGAAACAGGATTCATTCAAAATCATGTTTTTCACTAAAAGCCAGTATGAGGCCATAGATTACAGGCTAGGGAAAGTGGTACATCTCATTTATAAAATAACCAATTTAGCCTTCATTAGGTAGCGCCACATCCTGTGGTTTCATTACTGGCCATCAGATCTTCTGTATTTTACTTTACCCAACCTTATTATCTCTATTAATGAGCTAAGGCAAAAGCAGCTGAACTGCTCACCTGAAAGTAACTTTAGCAAAGAAGAAATTCTAAGAAGTAATTATATGTCAAGAATTCATGTATAGACCCGAGTGTAGTGGCACAAGCCTGTAGTTTCAGCACTTGGGAGGCTGGGGCAGGAGGACCACCATGAGTTCAAGGCCAGCCTGGGTTACACAGTGAGTTCAAGGCGAGGCTGAACTACATAGTGAGAACCTGACTCAAAAAAAAAAAAAAGTATAATTAAGTAATTATTCTAGTGATGAATGTAACTGCATAAAAATATTATACCATTATGACAGTAATACTTTTGAGACAGCACCTTGTTAAGGGGCCCAGGCTGGCCTCAAATACTTCCTGTCTTGGCTTCCCAAGGGGCTGGGAAGTTAGTGTTCCACAAACTCGGTGATCATATTTTTAAAATAGTTATTTCATGTGGCAAATAAAAAAAAAAAACATACTTTCTAAAAAGATACTTTCTGTACAAACACAAAATTTACCATTATATAACACATTATTATAAAAAATCATTATGTAATTTGGAACCAATAGAAGAGAAAGCTTTCCTCACTCTAGTTTGTAACAACATGCACCTAGGGGAATATATATACCTTCAAAACACAGAGCAATGTAAATACAAGGGGAAAATTTGCAGAATAGTATATACATATAATATATCTTATTTTTGTGCCATGTGTGATAGTACATAGAGGGCCAGTGACATGGACAATAAAAAGAAATTTACTAAGATCAGAATAAGAAAAATGCACTGTCAAGAGGGACAGCAGGCAGTTGCTAAGGGAGGAGTCACGTCATGAGGGTGAGAGATTGGGGTTTTTATAAAGGCTTGAGAATACAGAAAAAGGGTCTAGGCAGAAAATCTATATACCAATGTACCAATTTTGTTTTTTCCAGTACCGGGGATCAAACTCAGGACCTTGCACTTGTGAGGCAGATTTGGCACAACTGAGCTAAATCCCTGGCCCTGGACAGCAAATCTAGATACCTCAGGAATGTTCTATGTATTTTCAAGTTGCCAACTGAAAAAGCTATTTGCTGAGGTCTTACAGAAGTCTCTTTAGTTTCAGATTAGGTGATCTACACACATGAACTCTTTGAGGGAAGATGGGTCAGGGTTTGGTGGGAGGAGTGAATAGGTCTTGTATCTATGTTTATCATGCTGTTTTAGTCAGTATTCAGGCAGTGTCTCATGACTGCACAGTATGTGCAAGGCTGTGTCAGCAGAGAAGCTTTGCTGCTTAGAATTTTAACCCTTTGTCACAACATCTTGTTTAAAGAAAAAGGTTATCAATGAATATTCACAGTTGGAAGGATATGCATTATGCTGATAGCAATAGTTCCATTTCCATGAACCGAGGCAGGAGCAATGAATGAGGCACAGAGATTTCTGTTCTGAGGAGTGACAGGACATGAAAGGCTCCTCCAGATGCCATGATGTGGATAGGCTGTAGGGGCCAGGAGGAGACTGCTGTAATAACTTAGGTGCATAACCCAAGCCAATACAACAGTACAGCCCATTTGGGCAATGCCAATTACTGGGTTTCATGCCTCTGTGAACTCTGTGTGCTTGTACTCCTTTGCTTCTCTGGCAAACTTATACCTATTGCTGTAGTTTGTGGGAAACTATTGGCTTTGAAATAGGCAGAACCATATTTAAGTCCTAGTTCTGCCATTTACTAGCTACGTAAGTCTGTAAAGTTATTTAACCTCCCCCAGAACCTCAATTTTCTCATCCATAAAACACATGTCTTATATAAGGCTTGTGTAAAGAGACAATGAATGAAGGCAGACAGCTTATCTGTCCTGTCAACCAGTTCCTAGCAAATCACGTGGCACATAGTAGGTGGCCAAGATGTATTCAAGTAAGTACAGAGCCTGCAATAAAAATTTGCTATGGAAAAAAACCCAAAAACTGGCTAGTCCCTTCTCCATGACTTGACTTTATAAAACCTTTTATTTCTGTGGTTATAGTACATTATAAATTACTAAATTACATGCATTGTCAAGCTATATAAAAAACAGATGCACTTTTCTCTTGTAGCATTCTATTTGTTATATATGTTCCCAACATCCAAAGATGACACATTTCATTATACTATAAATGTTTACTTATTTTTAAATGAAAATTAAGGGTTTTCTGAAGTATCAAGATACCTGAAAGATTTCTTTAGTAATTAATAAAAATGATCAGTCAGAAAAGTTGATGGCTCATCAAATTGCATAAATTAGTGTTTATTAATTAGCAATAATTAGAATCCTGTCAACACCTATGTATCTTTGTGGCTATAGAAAGCTTGGCATAACTTTTAGTGGGTGAGATAAATATTTTTTATCCATCTTTATGGAGGTGAAGAACTTACTAAAATTATTTCGATGGTTTTTCCAAAACCTCAGCACAATGAAAAGCTTTTCATCTTCTTATCTTCCACACAGAGGTTAATTTTTCTGTGTTTTTCACATTATTGAATTCTATTAAGTATGTGTATTACTTTTCAAAGCAAAAGAAACATGTAATTCATCAGAATAAATAGTAGATGAAAGCAGGGAATGAAATAATATAACAATAAGTATGAAGCTAGGAGTAAGATTTTACATAACATTGAATGTCATAGGTCATATGTAGTTAAGGGAGCCAGTAAAGTTTATCATGAGTTTTCTAATTAACAGAATAAAGCAAGAGACATGGCCACACAATACTTAAGAGTAGTGTGTGTAAACTGTAAACAACTCAGCTGATCAGGACTTCTTGGGGCCGGGGATTTAGCTTAGTGGTTCCACTGCCTGCCTCTAAGTGCAAGGACCCAAGCTTGAATCCCAGTACCAAAAAAAATAAATAAATAATAAATAAATAAATAAATAAATAAATAAATAAACAAACAAACAGAGAGAGAGAGAGACTCCTTGGCAAGGAGGCTTAATAAAAATGTCACCCAACAATCCACATGAAGGGGATATTGTGTAGAGGGCTGAAGTCTTCCAGAATATGAAGTCCTCAAGGGACAGGTGATGCCCGGAAAGCAGCTGTGTTGGAAGGTGACTAGAAGGAACAGGAGTGAAGTAGAAGGCAAGACCTGTTAAGAGAGACAGACTAGAAGAGGACTAGCAACTCGTGACCTGAAGAAGAAAGGAAAAGATCTGAAAAAAGCAATTTTAAAAGTCACCGAGTTTATTGAGATGAAGTTTTAGTTTAGATGAAATTATGAAGCAAGTTATCATGACCAAGTTCAGAAAGTACATAATGTCAAGGGCTAAAAACATTCTGGAATAAATGGCCCACAGTCAGGGAACTTCATAATTTTCATAATACTTGCATATTTATACACTCCAAAACCATTAATTAAATTGGTAGTAAAAAAGGTAGCATTTGAAATAATGGATTATGACCATGTGCCCCTGCGGGGTAAGAAGCAAAATGAAGTCATGAAGGGCTCCTACAGTCTAAAGAACAGTGAAATTTATAGCATCTCAAAAGAGGTATAAAGAACAAAGGAACAGAATATAAAGAGGAAGATAAGGGACTTCAATGTCTAAATCACTAGAGCTGACCAGTTTCAGTAATAAAGAACAAAGGAACAGAATATAAAGAGGAAGATAAGGGACTTCAATGTCTAAATCACTAGAGCTGACCAGTTTCAGTGGATAAGTAGTAAGCACAGGGGGAGGAATACAGCATCAGATGTCTGTGGGTCTGAGTTCAAATCCTAAGTTTACCACTATGGTGGACTGCGTGTTTGCGGACCCCAAATTCATATGTTGAAATGCTAACCCCTAGTAAATGGCATCAAGAGGTGGGGCCATTGGGAGGTAAGGAGGTCATGAAGGTGGAGCTCTCATGATGGGTTTAATGACCTTAAAGAGGCATTTGGAAAAAATATCAATAACATTTTCCAGGAAAAGTTTCTTTTTCAAACATTGCAGTGGCATGTTGTACAGCTAAAATACTCAAACATGCTTCAAATACTTTACAAATAATTAACCAGAGACTACAAAACTGAGTAATATGTTTTTGTTTTGCTCTACCCTTTAGCAACTTTGTACTGACTTACCCCATAAATTCCTGGAAGGTTTGTCATCTAAAACTACTTTTGTTTTGTTTCTTAATTGTCGTTCTGGTGATAAAAATAAAACACTGCTTTCGCTTAAAAAACAAATTTTAAAAACCTTAAACCTTACAGAAATATAATTATAAGTCCTCTCTAATTCCATCTCCTCCAAAACAGTTTTAGTGCATATTATGAAAGATTTACTTATATCTTACTATTTCTCTAAAGAATACAGAAAAAATTCAGGATTTATTAGTGCCATTAACAAAAGATACACAAGCATCCTCCTTTCTCCTTCCCTCCATCCCTCCTCTCCTTTGTGCAGCACTGGGGATTGAACCAAGGCTGTGCAGTGCTGGGGACTGAAATGAGAAAGTTCTGAGCTCCATCTCCGGCCCTTTTTAAATTTTTATTTTGAGACTAGGTCTCGCCAAGCTGGACTCGAAGTTGCAATCATCCTGCCTCAGCCTCCCAATTAGCTGGGATCATGGGTGTCTATGACCATACTGGCTAGATTTAGATTTTTTGAGTTAATCATAATGCAAAGGCCTTGTACATCAAGTACAAACCATAAATCAAGTTTTGAATTTTGATGTTTTCCTGGGATTGTGATAAAAAGTACAATATTCTCTTTCACAATGCTAGGCAGTGGCAGTGAGCTGCAATCTGGTCCGTGAAGGTAAACGACTGCTCCCTCTATGCACAATGTATTGCTAACCTGTAGTATTTGTAGGTTAGGATAGAAAATTCATTTTAAACTTATAATAAGTTTATTAGAACACAACCCCACTATAAACTGAGTATCTATCTATACATAATTTTAGTATCCAAACTAACTTTTATATAAAAAGTTTTCTGTTCTGCTTGTAAGTGTGCTCACATAGGGTTGTTATTGGACTTTCAATTAATATATTACTTTGCATTATGACAATGTAATTTCTAATGGTATTTTCTCCTGTACTTTTCCTAGGAGAAGGAATATGAAACCCAGAAGTATAATACATAAATTTAGAGTAACTCCTTTTTATGTAAAAAAAAAAACAAAACAACTTTTTAACATTGTAAGAAAACTAATGAACCCCCAAAATCCTCCTCTAAGAAGTAAGATTCAGGAAACTGTAAATCTTTGATTTGCTTGTGTTCTTTATGAAGAATACACTGTGTACATTTACACAGACTAAGTTTACAATAATCTTGTGCAAGTCTTTTGAAGCCTCAAAAGAGGCTTCTGGAATTCATTCTTCTCTGTGCTTCTAATAAACAAATTAAAAATTCTTCATGATGTGGGACAAAAGAAGCCAAAGAAATGTAAACAGAATAGAACAAAAGAGCAAAAACTGATAATCTTGACATTCTAAGAAGTAGAAAAAAGCCTTCTTTGAAAACAGGGACATACATATAGAAATTCCAAATCCTTTTTAAGTAGTCAATAAGACACCATTAAAATTAACACCCAGCCTTAAAGATAGGCAGCTGCTTAAGCAAGAAAACCTGTAGGATTTATTTCGAGAAGTTTGAACCTGAAGACAGCCATGAGCTGTGGGGATACATCGGGGTTGAGCTGGGCTCCTTCAGTTCTTGGGGTGGAGGGAATATCTACTTTGTACTTGTGGAAAATCAGATGTACTCGATTTATTGTAACCAGGGCTTATAGTACCTCTGTAGGGTGGAAAACTACGTTATCGAGTTTGAAATCTCCATGAACCAAATTCTCCTCCTCATCATTATCCGGCAAGTTTTTCGTGAGCCATTCGGACAGCTGTTTCATGGCAGGGACGTCCTGATGAGCTGAAGCCTGATACTGGTTTGTCCAGATAGATACCTGAAAGACACAAACAAGGAAAACAGAACTGAAAGAGAAATGTAAAATTCAGCAATTCTAAAATTAAAACAAATTCGATTATGTAAAATTTTGTTGCTGCTAGAATGGTCAAGAAAAATGCCTAGATGCAAAGATTACATCAGGCTAAAATCTTAAACATTTAAGACTCTCATCTATCTAGTTTCATTTTACTTAACTTTTTATCAGAAAAAAAATACACACACAATGACTTCGGCATCAAGAGATGTGGGTTATAATATTTATTCAGGAACTATTTTGTGGAAGACACACACTTAGGAAATTTCTGGAAAGAGACACAAGAAATAAGTAAACCCTGAGAAAGGAATTATGGAGTCTAGGAGGATGAGAGTTCCTTTTTTTTTTTTTTTTTAATTTTAATACTCTTTACCATAGAATATCCACAGAATCTTCTAAATGTACTATGGATATGTGTAGTGCAAAGGCTTTCAATCATTCTTTGAATTAAAAGTAAGCAAATTCCTCTATTTTCAAGAGTCCTCCAATGAGTAGAACCATATTATTTATCTGCTTATATCTCCCATTTTCTTATCTATTCTGCTCAACTTAATGCAATAAGCAAAAACCTCTATCTCTGGAATCTTACTGACCTAGGTTTAAATTATGTGTAAGGTTTAAATTACATACTTGTGCATTCCTTGTTTAAATTATATCTAAGCCTGTGTGTTTCAACTTCCTCACTTGCAAAATGGGAGTAATAATACCTGTGCTTTATTGCTGTAAAAATTAAAACATGTCCACAGCTCACCTAGGACAGGACCTGGCTTATCATACACGTGCTGTAAAATTTAGTTCTCTTCTCTCCTCAGCATCCCCAAAATGACATGCTTACAAAGAGAAAAATGCCCATACATGTTTGGTCTTGCTTTCCCTTGATTGAAATGCTCACTGCCTCTTCCTTATCATTCTGAATTTTGTGTTTCTTTAAATAGTTATTGTAAGACACACTTCTCCTAGGAAGTATTTCTTATGCAAGGGCATACTAGTCTCCACTTTCTGGATGCACATCTCTTGCGATAAGCGTAAAGTAAGTATTACTAAATTATACCATTTTCAAATTTCAAGTACATGAGTTTCATGTAGAAGTCTCTCAGAAATGATCAGAGTTCATTTGGGGGAAGAACCTATCTCCATTTTTAAAAAAATATTTAACAGTACTCAACAAGAATTAAACACCTAGGAAAACTTAATAAACGTCTGCTAACATAACTTAGAAAACTGGGTAGAAAACACTGGTAAATTAAGCGAAGATTCTGAAACAGGACCTTTTGCTGCATAAACCTTAACTAAGGCATAAGATTATTTTATGCTAAAAAGAAGTCAATCTGAAGGATAATGTAAAAATAGGAGTCTCAGAAAACTATACAATAGGTTTTTATTTTGACCAATAATATACAGAATGTTGTATTTTTAAGAACTTAGAAAAGTAGTTTTTTATATGGATGCATTACCTGTCTTTTGCAGTACCCCACGCCTGTTCCATATCCTTCCAGCTGCAATGATCGTATGTTCAAGGAATGTAACCGAGCCAGCGTTTCTATCATGGCCACATAGATGGCTGAGCGTTCTGCTGGGCTAACTCCAGGAAGTGTGAAATCACGAAAGATTCGACCCTGTGGAAGCGATTATAACAGGCAATTTAAATGTTTGGCACCTGAAATCAATACTTTGTGGAATATTTGAGAAAAACATTCATTTGTGAAACATGTCAAAGAATACGTGTACCAAAGGGTAAATATGAGCACATGCAAAGATGAACTTGAAGGACAAACTTGAATTTTATAAATTTAAAAAATTTTATAAATTAAAAAAAGCAATTTGAATTTATTTTTTATAGTTTAATCATTTTTTCTGTTGTGTAGTCAGTTTCTGTCCCTACCTTCTGGACATTTGGTTATTGCCATTATAGGTAGCTCTTTACTGCCACCTGGAGGAAGAGTTAAGAATCAGGCTTTAAAAAGGAACCCTGCTCCACTGCTGGTGGGAGTGCAGATTGGTGCAACCATTGTGGAAATCAGTATGGAGATACTGCAAAAACTAGGATTAGAGGTCCCATTTGACCCAGCTATTCCCCTGCTACGTATCTTCCCAAAAGAATTTAAAGAATCATACCACAGTGATACATGTGCCACTCATGTTTATGGCAGCACAGGTTATAATAGCTAAAGCTTGGAAACAGCCCAATTGCACATCAACTGGAGACTGGATAAAGAAGGTGTGTGTGAGTTTGTGTTTATAAAATGGAGTACTACTCAGCCACAAAGAATGAGAAATTAGAGACATTTATAGCTAAATGGATGCACATTGAGGCCATACTCTGAAGTGAAATAAATAGGATACGCTTGTGTAAATACCCAGTAATTTCACTGGTATGAGAAACTGAAAGTGGTAAATAAGGATCAAAATGTTTAATAGATAATATGAAATAGAGAGGAAAGGTCCAAAAGGGGTAGGAGGAGGAAAAAAAGTGAAAAGAATAAATATGAAAAAAGAAAAAAAAACAAAAAGTATTTGTAAATAGGGAGGGGTGAAGGGATTGAAGGGAGGGCAGGGAATGGGGAAAAAATGAGAACCAAGATATACTATGTAAAGGTACAAATTCCCAAAGATGAATGCTATCATGTTGTATACCTAAAATGTACCAATAAACTTAATGAATAATAATAAAGAATCCATCAATGTTTCCTAATTATTAAATTTGTTCTTCAGTCATTCCATTTCTCCTAATTGTATGTGCAGAAATTGAAACAAAATTTTAAGTCCTTGCAAAACAAACAGATTAAAATATTGAATAAATTGTTATTTATGAATATAATAAACCTCCAATTAATAAAACAGTATCATTAATTTCTTATTTTTAAATTTAAATTTTTATTTATTTATTGGTACTGGGAATTGAATTCATGGCCTTGTGCTTCTGAGGCAGGTGGAGGAACCACTGAGCTAAATCCCTGGCCCCAGTATAATTAACTTCACAGTTAAAAATAAAAGCAAAAACAAAATAAAATTGTTAACTCACCTGCACATGTTCCATCACATAAAATTCCGTTCCAATGACAGAAGCATCACTGCAGTACAGTAAAGGCTTGGGAACAGGAAATCCAACAGAAAACAAGGTTTTCTGGACTTTAAATTCTCTATCAATCTAAAGAGCATGTGGATTATTAAGAATCAAAACAGAAATTTAGTAACTGCTTGTGAGCTAAGCTAACATTAAGACTAGAAATCAGTTGTAAAATAGTGTCAATGAATAATCGAGAGGATGACAGAAATAATTTCTTTCACAATGGAATAGAATCATAATAATTAGAAATTAGACTAGCTCTAAAAAATGATAATTTAATTAGGGTAAAACGATGGCCGCTTGGATGGGGTTTAATCCTGGCTCTGGACATGTGAAGTCAATAGTTTCTGATTGTTGCCCAATTGGGGTGCAGGTTCCTGATGTCCTAAACAAAGAATTGAGCACAACACCCATAAGTAGCAGTAAAATCAAAAGCAAGATACATTCCACAGGGTGGGAGCAGGTCGGTGAGAAGAGTTCAGACCCACAGAGGCTTGGTGTCAAGAGTTTTAAACCTTAGGCTTTGGAGTATAATTGAGAGTTTGGACTGAGATAGACTCCTGCCAATGACCAGTTTGACTTAGCCCCTCTGTGTGTGGGGTGGTCCAAAGCCCAGGGGTTTGGAGGTTGGGTCAAATATACATACTCAGTGACATGGTAATTAGGGATGGGTTGGACAGGGTACTTTCTATGGTAAGCTAAGTTCCCTGGTTACTATTCCCATTACAATTAGAACTGAGTATCCCAGTCCTAAGCTAAAGTTAAACACAGAAGGTAGATCTAGTTCTAGAAAGCAGGCTTCAAGGCAGGCCTGCCCTTTTCTATTTTTCTTGCCTTTTTCTTAGCTCATGGCCACAGTATTTCACAGGTGTTCAACTGTATCAACTTCCTTTTTTCTCAGCAGTTCACTGCTGATTGGCTTGCTCTCATTCTTTCATTATCTCCCAACAGGGTAGAGACAAGTCTCTTTTAGGACTCAACCACAATCAGCTTCAGGAGCTGGGGGTGACAGATGAGCTACAGAAAGAGAAATCTGCAGATTAAAGAGGGGATAAACTTCCAAGGTAGGAGTTTGGATCCTCCCTGGTACCTGGGGCCAATGTGGAGCTCAACGTAACTACAGGGAAAGTAGGCAACTAGAAGCAAACAGGTCCAGAAGCAGGAGCCCAAATAAGATAGAAGAAGCTGACCTCCTTAGCCTGGGCAGATGCCTGGGCCTATCACAGGGGCAGAGCTGTGATACGGGCCAAGAAAATATGACTCTCCACATGAAAAGTCATCTTGCTCCAGACTCAGGTGATGGTGACTGGCCATTTCTAAGAGTGGAAACCATGCAGTTCACCTTACATCAGGGAGTAAAGCAGTTACTTCTGCAACAACTGGAACATGAAAGTAACTAAACGCAAGTCCAAGGGAGAGGAAAGCCAGCATTGCCAATGGCTATAGAAGGGAATGTTTATAATCACCCTGGTGCCAGGAAATGAGTGGGGCAAGAGCAGAAAGGGAGGCAGAGGTCAGGGTGTGCGTGTGTGTATGTGTAGTGCTGGGATTGAACCAGGTCCTCACGTATGTTAGACAAACACTCTACCACTGAACTACACCCCCAGCTAACAGGTACAAAGTGGATGGCAAAGTAGGAGCACTGCTTTTTAAAATGAAGATTCTGGAAAATCCATGAAGTTAAAACAAAGTGTTCTAGATCCTTAGAGCTACACTTAGGCTGAGAACATTATGTTATGTTCTGACTTGTTCTTGTAGGATGCTATCAAGGAGAGAACCAAGAATTGCTGCTTAGAAACATTTCATTATTGTTTACTTGGGCATAAATCCATGGGGATGGGTGCAGATCCTCATTTAGCCATGCCATGTTAAGATTTAGTAGTTACCCAATTTTTTATATTAAGCATCCAAATTATATATTTCTGGGAACATAATGGGACCAAAAGTTGATATCTGCATTTTTCTATTTTGTGGTATTAATCCCATCTCACAGTGTTTGCTTCTGAGTAAGCTGGGCCTGGCAAACACCAGTTAGACGTGATTGCAATAACACCCTAAATACGCGAGTGCTGATTCATGTTTTCAGAACTTTGATTTCCATAGATAATACCTATTTTTGCAAATATAAAAACTTGGCTTAAACTTTTTTGATCCACATATGATATTTGTACAGATTTATGAGATTTAATTCATGTATAATCGAGTAGTGATCAACTCAGGGTAATTAGAAAAACAGTTCTTAAAAATGTTTACAATTCTCAATGACAAGTCTAATATTAGAGAATGCTATAAAATGCTTATTCACATCTTTCTTTTTATTGCCAGATTAGAGGACTATCATAGCAAATATCTTAAAATAATGTAGCAAGTAGATATTGTTATTAGATATAATAAACATGTAACAGAGACAAAACATCTAGAAATTAGTATTGAGAACTCACTGGCTGATTATACTTCTAGCTAAGGGTGCAGGGAGGAATCAAATCCAGGAGAGGACTAGGTGTGGTTCAAGATTAGAAGCCTAAAGATACCCCAGATTTGAACCTCAGGTCCTTTTTAAAACAAAAAGGTATACAATTTAATTAGCAATAAGATGAATATTCTATTGTTTAATAGCTATATAATCACCTTTAAAAACAATTTAAATTGTTTATATGTATATAAAGTCATTTATCGTGAAACAATTCTTTCATTATGACAGAATTTACATTATATTTATATGCCATACCTTATGCGCTTTGGGAAGAAGTGAGCCTGGTGGTTTTTTCCTGAGTACATATGCTTGAAAGCCCTTCTGTAGATAAAAGGTTGGATTGGACTGTCCTGATCTACATAAAAGTAAAGAAAAAGTTAACTGTAAAAATATGTTTTCTTCCTCAAATCCTACTGAAATGCTAGAAGAAACAGGAAAAGAAAATAAATCCATCTCGATGTTGAAAAGCCAACAGGGATGCTATCAGCAGATCACAGCATGAGCATTTGGGTGATATTAAAACAGATGGCAAAGCTGGATGTAGTGGTCCATGCCTGTAGTCCCAGCTTCTTGGGAGGCTGAGGCAGGAGGGTTTAAATTCAGGGCCAGCCTGGACAACTTAGTGAGACATTTTTAAAAATAAAATCTAAAATAAGGGAGAAAGGTTGGGGATGTAGTTCAGTGGTAGAGTGCTTCCCTACCAAATATGAGGCCCGTGTTCAGTCCCCAGTCCTGCAAAAACAACACCCCCAAACCAAAACAACAACAACAAATACACGGATGGCAACACACTGGCATGAGAGAATCTATAATCCCATGGGTAGGAGAGTGGACCTCACCCCTAATTGCAAATCATGTTCTATCAGAAGCATCCCTAGAACAATGCCTATATATACATTTAAAAAAAAGGCTTAGGGAAGAGGTTGTAGGCAGTCAGGAAAGAATTAATGGATGCTGGAACAGCCCCCCTCCTAGAGCCATAACCTTCGCAGGTGTCACCAAGACTAGAACCTGAATACAGCTCTGTACAATGGGAGTCAGAAGTGAGATTCCAAAGTGGGCAGCTAGCCCAGTACAGTGGTGCCCTAGGTAATTCACAGGCATGGGGCACTGGCTTTCCCTGTTAGGTGAACAGAAATCACATGGTCTAAGGACAAACATCCCAGCTAATGAAACTATTCAATCTATACTTTTATTTCTAATATGGACAGTTAAGAATCTCTCAACTTTTGGAGAATCCAATAGTACAAAAGAGAGACCCTGAACAATATAAATGGAAGATTCAACCCTAGAAGTATTGGGTAAAAGTGGAAAATAAAAGTAACCTTGAAGTTTCTCCTCAGGATTTCACCCTCCATCCAGCGTCCAGTGGACTTCACCCAGCTGCTCCAGCGTCTACACCTTTCTGCCACAGGCCAGGCACATGCTCCCCAGAACTCTTATCAGAGAGCACGGTTCTTGGCTCCATCTTTTCTTCCTGGATGGGTGCCTTTTATCACAGGAAAGTGAAGGCAACTGCCAGGAAATAGGACCACCTGAAGTTATGCTGTCTCCAGTGACATGGGGCAATTTAGCTGTGATGTTGCCAAGACCCAGGTGGCAATTATTTTCTTTTAATGTCAAATGACTGGATGCATTTTTGATGATGTAGATCTCTAGCCATATATGAAGTACTTATCTTTCATGATAGTAAATAATCCAACGAAATATAAAGGAAAAACCAGAAGCTTCTTATTAAAGATGAGGCTGCCATATGATCCACTAAGGCCAATCTTAGGTATCTATCCAGAGAACTTAAAACACAAAATTCACACAAAAACTTGTACATAAATTTGTTCACAGCAGCACTATTCACAATAGACAAATACTGGAAACAACTCAAATGTCTATCAGCAAGTGAAAGGAAACTGTGGCAAGAATATTAATTAGCCATGAAGGGAATGAGATGCTAATACACGCTAGAACCCGATGTGCCTTGAAAACACACTAAGTGAACGAAAACATTCACAAATGTCTACACATTGTGTGGCTCTATTACTATGAAATGTCTGGATTAGGCAAACCTATAATGACAGAAAGTAATGACTCTGTCTCAAAACAAAAAATAAAAACAAGGCTGGGGATACAACTCAGTGTGAAGGTCCTGGGTTAAATCCCTGGCACTGGAGGGGAAAAAAAAAAAATTAATGGCTGCTAGAGGATGCAGTAAGAGGGAACTGGGAAGTGTGGTTTCTTAGGGAGGTGACAAAAATAGTCTGGAATTAGATGGTGATGACGGCTGCAAAATATTGTGAATATGCTGAAAACAAATGAAGCACACACTATAAAGCTGCTAAAATTATGAATTTTGTATTATTTGTATTTCAAAAACAACCAAAAAGTTTTAAATTCTTCTTCTGAGGAAATATTTACCATTTACCAGAGTTGTAATAAAACAAACAACAACAAAAAAGGCAGAAGCCTCCTCGTATTGGATGATAATCACCAATATTATCAATACAACAATAGCTAAATTTAACCACTCCAAGTGCCAGGCTTTCAAGTAGCCTGGAACTATGGATGTTCTCACTGTACGAAACATCACTGAGCCAACAGTTATAACTACTCTTGAGGACTTGAACAAGATATTTGGTGCTACAGTAATTTTTTCATCTATATCCTAAAAGGTGACACTTTTGATTTGTCCAACCTCCATTAACAAATCCAGAATCTTTTCCTTGAGGAATGTTCAGCTAGGAATGTTCACTTGGTTGGAGATAACTCTGACTAGGTATCAATTTTACAAGACTCTAACAGTCACCCTTTGTGCTGGTTCACTGAGAAGCACATAAAGACAGGGAATGCAGTTTGCTGGCAGGGCCACAGCAAATGAATTTCTTCAGCAGAATCTCATAGCCATCTTGCAGCAGCCTAGGGTTTACTCTGTTTCCCCTGTGCCCTCTCTAGGACTTGAAGTTTACTTAGGCTTCTATACCAAATAGTAGACAGCTTAAAAGCAACAAAAATTCATTTCTTTCTTTTTTTTTCTTTTTTTTTTTTTTTTAGTGCAGTCATGACTATTCCAATGAAACAACGCGACTGTTTATACCAAGGAGCCTCAGACCTTTACCATCTACTTTGACAATCAGCTCAGTGTGCACATTCAGGCTTACGAAATAGAGTGAGCAGTGATGAAGGATAATGCTCTGTTTAGCAAATGTGAACTCACAGGCATCCCCGTAGCACTCCTTAGATTCTACAGGTTGAAAGTGTGCTACTGATGCCAAAGCTTCTCAAAGGTGTCTGCTGTAGGTAAGAGATCAGGAAAGGAGAAAAAGATTTAAAGCCCAATGATGTGATATTTGAGCATGAAAAGCAATGAGCCTATGACGATGAGGCACAAGAAGTGAAACATTCCCTAGAAGTTGCTCAGATTGTAGGTATTCAACAGGCCATGGTGGCAGGTGATGAGTGACATCACAGATGAAGCCAAGTGCAATGGAATTACAAAATGGCTGGTCAAGAAGCAGATTACTGAGAAAATAATTTAACACCAGCAGATACAGAGCTGGAGAAGGCCCCAACCCCCATAATATCACAGTGCCCAGAGAGCAGACACCATGGTAAGTGCTTTGTGAGAGGCTTCCTTAGGAGTGGGTGCATGGTTCTTCCAGTGGAACCATGATTATAAAAACAAACCAAGCCAACCAAAATACAATAAAAAGTTGGACTATAGGGCTGGGGATTTAGCTCAGTGGTGTTTCTCAGTGCCTGCCTTGCAAGCACAAGGACCCGAGTTCGATCCCCAGTACCAAAAAAAAAGTTGGACTATGAACACAGTTGTGACGTTTGAAGGACTCTTGATTTGTAAAAAGTTATTTTTGTGGCTTTAAAAAAATCATATTTTAGTGGCTGGGGATTTATCTCAGTGGTGTTGCCACCTGCCTCGCAAATGCAGGGTACCGAGTTTGATCCCTGGCACAAAAAAAAAAAAAAAAAAAAATCATACTTAAAATGCTAATGTATGACTAGATGTTTTGAACATCTGACTATATATAGGGAAAAAGTATGCACTGCACTTTACCCATATGCTAAGTAAGTAGAAAATGCAATTCATGTCATAGAACAATGTATTTTTAAATTGGAACCATTGGGGGGAAAAAGTCCAGTGCATTTGCTAGAAGACTGCCCCTCCTTAGCCCCAAATACCTACTGCTTCCCATTTCCTCTCACGCATAGTACTGCTACCTTGAGACCACCATTACTGGTCACACTGTGCTCTTCATCCTGGTTTATGTCATTAAGACAAGAAGCCCCAAATCCCTGATACCACCTGTCTACTGCATTGCACTTCCCAAAAGGGTCTGCACATCCCCTATTTTGTCTTGTTCTCTCACTCAATTCCCTCACTCTTGATGTGCCCCTGGCCCCTGGCACTCATGGTCTTTCATAATCCCACATACCCCTAATATCTTCTCCGAATAGAACGTTCATCCTCTTGCTCTGAATCATGAATGTTCCATGAGGACCCTGTTTCCTCTACAAGCTTTCTAAGTAATACATGTTTCTTCCACATCTGTTATCCAGTGGGCCTAGAGATGAAGTGTATGTGTTCTTCCTGATGCCGATTGCCACTTCCAGACTTCTCGTTCTTCCTGTTGTTTAAATGCTTTCCACCTTTGAATCTCTGACACCCTCTACTCTTTTAGTCACCTACTACCTCCCAGATTATTCCTCCTCATTTCTTGAGGGTTGCAGCTTGACTCACAATTACTCTCCTTAATGCTATTCCTACATTGTTAATGATTTCAGGATCCACGTAGATATCCCTTCTAACATTCAAGCCAGTCAGTTCCATCCATTTTTTTCCTCCTCAAAGACTATGTCAGCACTCATTCTGAGTTATTAGGAACCTAGTAAATATCAACCATTCAAGCACTATATAACCCTACTCTAAGCATTTATGTCTCTGATCTCCTATTTTTCCACTCACTTCTGTTAGCAGCTTGGTTCCAATAATCCTTCAATCCTTGGGCCTACATTCATCTCACCTCTCCTCATCATTTTCTTCCTTGACTAGCTCAAATTTAGTGGTAAATTACATAACTGTTCCCTTGTACATCTTTAGTACACTTCTCTTCTCACTTAATGGCATCTGCTTGGCAAAATTATCTTCCTTCTTAAATTCAATTCTCTACCTGTACCCATATGACTAAAACTAGGCAGAAGAAGAAATACACAACCATAATTTTTGTTCTGGGTTAGGTTCCTGAGAAACAGACCCTCAGGAAAAAAAAATGTGTACAAGTGACTAAAGGAAATCTTGGAAAACTAATAAGGAACTGGAGGAAGCACAGAGAAAGCCAAATAAGGATA